GTTTTATATTTAAAACAAAAAAAGAACCCTTATATACTATCTCTTACATTTAGGATTAGATGTACTATTCTATAACTAGTTGTCAATAATATTTTGTCAAAAAACCTCATATGTAATCATTCCTCCGTCTCTTCTACTAAGGGCAAACACGTCTTTTTGGTAATTCTAATGTTTTATTCACAGGTCGGTTGGGATTTACAATAATTTTAACATTTGAAGGATTTTATATAAATAAAATATGTTGCTTGGGATTTGTGTGTCCTCTTTTTTGGAAGAGGATTTTTTGGCTTTTATTTATTTTTTATTTATTTTTGACCATATCATTTGGGAGCACATTCTATGCTCATCACAATGATGAGCATGGAGTGCTCATTGCAATTTAGACCATCCAGATTGATTTTTTATGGTTCAAATTGAATTTAAATTTTTTATATATTTCAGTCAATTTTTTGTTTTAATAGATACAGAATTTAAAATAAATATAATATCATAACTAACATATCTTTAAAAAATAAATTTATCATTAAAAAAATTGTATATTAAAATTTTAATCTGAACCATCCATATTACATTTTGGATAGTTTATATTGCATTATAGTTATAAGCACTAAATGAAAACCCATATAATTTTTTATGATTAGGACTAGGGTTCAGACTAATCCCATTTGACGTCAACATTAACTTGTGGCCCTGTCCTGGGCATGAAGGAAAAGTAAAAGCACCAGTTCAATCACATGGTCACAACTAATTGTTCAAGAGTTACCCTTTTTTTTTTGGCCAAAAGTTCAAGAGTTACTTTAAGTTCTTTATAATTTGCCTATTGAGACTTGAAAATTTTGATAAAGAAAACTAATTACACTCTAAAGCTTTTCTCACTGAGACAAGATTCTGAAGATCTCTAATGGCTCAGCGAATTATGAAAAACGTATGCAAACAAATAGAGGAGGAATAAAAAGAGGAAAAGGAAAGAGGGTCATCAAGAGGGAAGCTTCTCGGACGTTGCCTTGAAAAGAGCTCCAGAGGGGTTTGTACATTTTTATAATTTCTTCGAGCCTCTTTCCAACTGATGCACGTGATGTGTCTGTCCCTCAGAAAAGTGGCGGTTTTAACTTGAGCATATCCGAGGGGAAATTAATTTGGATACCATAAAGAAGATGATAGTTGCTTTTCATTTTATTAATACTTCTGTGAACAAAATGGAACATGGAATAAAAATATTATACCAACAAACCTTGGTTTTAATGAAAGAGGTTTTCTTCATTTAAGTATTTGGAAAAAATGCCTTTGATTAATTTGACTCGATAATATTTGAATTTAACTCAGTCAGATAATTATATTTAAAAAGAATAAAAATATTTCACTTTTTGAAAATTTATCAACTGATTTGGTTTAGATTTTAATATCATACTCTCAGGTCTTCAAACAAGTATTTAGTTTAAGGACAAAACTTAGGTCCAGTTAATTAGGTTAAGTTGGTCCAGTTAACCAAATAGCTTTTGCAATGTATATTAATTGGACACATCATCATTTAACACCTATTAACCCCGTTAGTGAGGATCGACCGATCGTGCGAGGAGGCGGTACAATTATCTTGAAGTCGACCTTAGACCAAGGAAATGTAGTCGATTGTTTCATATCTCTAAATGTCCAAAGTTGAATGGCTAACCTAGCCAAGAGATCAGCGTGGGACGGTGAAACAGCAGAAGACGGAGTGAGAGATGAGATGCCAACCAGGAAAAGAGGGATTGTTGAACTTGATGGAGAGAGAAGATACAGGGGTTTATGGCACTGCCGTTTTGCATCTCAAGGAACCATTGACTTGCCTTAATTTCCTTGACCTTTTTAAAAGGCGGCGGTGTTAGCAGAGGCTTCAATTAGGAAGAAAGCACACAGTTGATGCGCTTTACGCCACTGTCCACCATCACCGCATGCCTCGATGGCATTAGAGCTGACTTCGAGGGGTTAGATAGAAAACAGAAGCAATATCTATTCTACAACTCAATGCTTGCTTCTCCGATGGGAGAGGGTCTAACATTCAACATGAAGACAAGTGGCCTGATGAATGATGATTGACGAAGCCTTATCCCCTAGTGGTCCCGGCTAGTATTCCCTTCCAATCCGAAGGAGTTATGGTGTTAGATATAAACTAATTAATTAGTTCCTTCTATATCGACATGGTCTTTGTTGCTGAAGATGTTCACTTAGAAGCTTCTTGGGTTGTTGTGTAAGAATCTGTTATGTTGAACATGTGAACGTATGGAGATTGAGTGGAAATTAATTGGGACTGGGGATGTCAATGAGGGGGAAAGGTGGAGGAGGGCGTAGGGGGCAGCATTGGCATATAAGGAGAAGCCATTAACCGTGTTAAATGATGATATGTCCAATTAATATATGTGGAAGAAGCTAATTGGTTAACTGGCACAACTTGATCTAATTAATTGGACCTAAGTTTTGTTCCTAGTTTTATTGGTACCTTAATTAATTAAACTTTCAATTCTATTGTAAATTCTATGCATTTATGTGAAGTTAATCAGTATGTCCCTGTCTTATTAAATTGTTTATCAACATGTGGGCCATGAGTCAGTAGGCCAAATAATATACTGGATGAGTGCTTTTTTTAATTTTCTTTCCAATGCCTTGTCCCTTCTTTTTTTTAATTTGTATTTGTGTTTGTCCTATAACTATGTTTTCGTAATGGACTCTTACCTACTTTTCAGTCAAATGACCCGTTTGGTTCATTGAATCATAACTCATGAAATGTAATGTAATAGGAGGAAATGTAATGTAATGTAAAGATGATTACAATAAGCTTATTTGGTTTGGTATTAGGAATCTCTCAAAAGGATAATAAATTTTATATTAATTTTAATAATTATAAAAATAAAAATAAAAAGACTAAATTATCCTTCTCACATTTTTTCCTTACCCCTTCCTTTTCATGATCTCCTTCTTCCTCCTCCTTCATTGCTTTTGCCATAATCAACGCCCAGAAACAAAATTAAGGCAAAATGATTTGGAAGGCTACAGATAGAAATGAAATCATTGAATCATTATGTGGAAGAGAATAGAAGAATCAGCACTGCAGCAACGAACGAGGTGGAAGGCCAAGTACTACCATTGATGTATTTCGTGCCTTCTAATCCAAATGAGAAGGGTCAAGCACTGTAATTATCTAATTGATTCATTGTTTAATAATTTGTAAGGCTAAAAAAGTTTGTTACTTAATGTGTCAACCATTGGCCACAACTCTTCTTTACTGCTGCTATTTCACCCACCTTTCATGGTCTGCTTTTGTTCGTTGTTTTCACTTTAAGTCGATTCTATGGGAGGCACTTGCTGAGAATTCAGTATGAGTTTGCAAGATCTATAGGAAAGGCCCAAGACACTTGATTCCCGAAGTTAATTGTGGTTGCTAAGTAGGGAGGTTGATGGTGGTGGCAAAGTGATGAATGAGAGGAGGTCAATAAGTATGGAAGAGTTTAATGAATGGCTGCACCACGGACGAAGCTATGATACAAGGGAGAAGGAGGAGGAAGATAGCGGATGTGCGGTCATAGAGAATATGGAAGAAGTAGGGGCAAATAATGTCTTTTTATCCTTTTCCTGTGTGTTGTAATCATCATTCATATGTTCCGCCAGTAGACCTGGGAAAGCGGGCTGGCGGTGCGGATACGGGCCAGCCCGCCGCGGTGCGGGCCAAATGCGGTGCGGGCTGAAGTAGCCCGCACCTTGGCGGGCTGGCATTTTGCCAGCCCACTAGCCCGCCTAAATTTTTTTTTTAAAATTTATTATATTAGTATGAGTTAAACCTAATTTAAAATGTTGAAATTAGGTTCCGAGTTTTAAACTTGAGTAATGGATCCTAATAAAAAAAAAGAGAATTAATTTATAATATTAGAAGAAATTTAAGAAAAACTAACATATATATTTTTTATAAATAATTAATTTAACTAGTTTTCTTATCCAAATTAATTAAGTAAATCTTTTATGTGTGTATATGTATGACTATATGAAAATCACATATTTATCTAATCTTATGAAGCCGTGCATACTAACGACAAATAGATATAAAAATAAAAGATGGATAGTGCTCTTCATATAACCATACATATATATATATGAAGTGCTTAATTAATTATATATATAATGATATGGATGAGGTAATGTCCATATGAAATTTAATGGTCAAAATCATCTAACTATATTATATAATGTATTAAAAATCAGAAAAAGTAAAAAAAAAAAAAGCGGACTGACGGGCTGGCCCGCCAACCAGTGGGTTAGCCTGCGGCAGAGCGGGCCAAAAGCGGTGCGGGCTAGAATAGCCCACACCGTGGCGGGCTGGGAAAACATCAACCCAAGCCCGCCTTTTTTGGCGGGCTGGGCCCGTATTACCGGCTCTATCCGCCAGTATAATCCCCTTTACATTAGTTTAGATAATCAATATCACAAAACGTAATCCTTTTCACATTACAAAAATCAAATCAGTATTTATGTCATGATTACATGTAACCATGATTCTTGTAATATAACCCAACGTGTCAAAATTAAATTACCTAGAGTAATCATTACCTGTAGACTGCATAACGCGTCTGTTAAGCTGACCGGAATGAGAGAGAAGATTTTACAGATTCCATGGGCCCACAGATACAAAGTAAGTTCATGTATCATTATAATTTTGCACCCAAACAAATTTTATAATACCCCATAAAAAATTTTGTTGCTCAAAACGTAACTTATAAATAATTTTTACTTATAAATAATTTTTTAATGATAATTTATAAAATATAAAATAAATATATAGAAAAAATTTTGTTTCAATTCATGAAAAATTCTATAAATAATTTTTAATCGTGATTTTTTCTGAGGGCCAATGTCAAACTTCCGTCAACGGTGACTCCTTTCCTTCTGTTTCCAGGCACAGAAGGAGTTGCCGATCGGCGTGAGCGACGTTAAGCATCTCTGTTGTGTTTGGGAAGTGAGCTTCTGGCATCGTCGAAATGAGTTATCCTAGCCTCCCAGGTAGCTCATCTTCTCGGAGGACCTGGAAATACGAAGTTTTTCTGAGTTTCAGAGGCGAGGATACTCGCAACAAGTTCGCTGGTCATCTTTTTTCTGCTCTTCAACGGAAAGGTATATTTACTTTCAGGGATGACAAAAGGCTCGAGAAAGGACAATCCATTAAACCGGAGCTCCTCAAAGCAATCGAGCAATCCCGAATTTCTCTTGTCGTCTTCTCCCAAAACTATGCCGATTCATCATGGTGCCTGGAAGAACTGGAAAAGATATCTCAGGGAATTGGCGAACCGGGATACTTTGTTGTACCAATTTTCGTCGATATCGATCCTTCTGATGTTCGAAAACAGGATGGAAATTATAGAAAATTCTTTGATAAGCATGAAGAAGACTTCAAGGATAATATAGATAAGGTACAAAGATGGAGGTTAGCATTGAATCAAGTAGCTGGTCTCGTTGGTTATGATGTTCGGAATAAGTAAATTCTCTTGTTCTTATTTTGATTTTCTAATGCATAAATCTTCATTGTCCTGTTCGATCATTTTCCCTTTCGTCATGTTTACTCAGGTCATGATGATTAGAGTTCTTCTCTTTTTCAGATCAGAATCAGATGTTATTGATGAAATTGTTCAAGATGCAGCAAGCAAATTGAGACATAGATTCGCAAATCTGGTTGATGATCTAGTTGGGATGCAATCTCGTGCAGAAGCATTTGAAAGCCTTTTAGATTTAGAATCAGATGAAGTTCGAAAGGTAGGGGGGATGTGGGGGATGCCTGGAGTAGGGAAGACTACTCTAGCTGCTGTTGTATATGATAGAATCTCTCACAGATTTGATGCTTGTTGTTTTCTTGATGTAAGTAAAGTTTACGAGGGTCCTGGACTTGTCCGTCTACAAGAGAAACTCCTCTGGGAAACACTGCACTTAAAGATGGAGATAGGGGACGTGAACAGGGGAACCGAATTAATAAGAACCAGGCTTCAACACCTTAAAACTCTTATTGTTGTTGACAATGTTGATCATGATGATCAATTGGAGAAACTGATAGGAAATCCCACATGGTTGGGGCCGGGTAGTAGGATCATCATAACAACAAGAGATTCACATATCCTAAAGGTCTATGGGGTGGATGAAATTTACGAGGTTAAACATCTGAATGATGATGAAGCTCTTCAACTTCTCTGTAGAAGAGCCTTCAAGCAAGATGATCCCTTGAGCGACTTTAAAGTGATGTCTCATAGTCTGCTAGAATATGCTAAAGCCCTTCCACTAGTAATCAAAGTGTTAGGTTCCTTTATGTATGGGCGGGATTTAGCAGCGTGGGAAGATCAGTTAGAAAGATTGAAAGATATTCCTCCCGAAAGGGTTATAGAAGTTCTCGAAACAAGTTTTGTTCAGCTTGGGAAAAGGGACAAGGATATATTTGTCGACGTTGCTTGTTTCTTTAAGGGCGCAGATGAGAACTACGTCACAAAAATTCTCCAACATTGTGGATTCAATCCTAAAATTGGAATTACTGTACTCCGCGAGAGAGCACTCCTGAACATTGTCAATGGAACAATCTGGATGCATGATATGCTGCAAGAACTGGGATGGAAAATTGCAAAGGGAGACTTTCCTGATGAGCCAGCAAAGTGGAGTAGGCTGTGGTCATTCAAAGACATTCAAACTGTAAAGACGGTAAGTTTTTCTTCTTCTGATTATTACTTTACTGAGGTTTTGTTTTCTTATTCTTTGTTTCATTAGCATCCTAGCTAGCATTCCATATAATTCAAGGAATCCAACATGTCCCTACGCTTTATGATGTATGTGCTCAGGGAACGGACAAAGTTGAAGCCGTCGTCCTGAGCCCGGAAGATCAGCAAGAGACACCATTGAAGGCCGAAGCTTTATCACAAATGAGCAGCCTCAGACTAATCATATTGCCTAGTAAAGTGGAATTTTCAGGAAACCTCGATAACCTGTCCGACAAGTTACGAGTTCTTTCATGGCCTAACTTTCCTTTCAGCTCTTTGCCATCATGTTTTGAACCAGTTGACCTTGTTGAACTGATCATGCCCGACAGCAATCTAAGACAACTATGGCAAGGCGAAAAGGTACAATATTAAGCTTCAATTTAACAGAGAAAGGTCTGTTGTTGGTAACGGTAGCTAGCTAATTTTTTTTTTTTTTGCTCTCCTTCACAGAGAATGCCAAAGTTGAAAAGCATGGATCTACGTGGCTCTAAAAGCCTAATCAGGACGCCAAATGTTACCCGAGTGACAAATCTTGAGAGATTAGATCTTGAAGGATGTACTGGATTATTGAAGGTCGATCCGTCTGTTGGAGATCTTAAAGAGATTAGGTTCCTGAATTTGAGAAACTGTGATCATCTACTCAGTATCCCAAAGACCTTATTTCTGTTAACTTCTCTCGAAGTTCTGAACTTTCCTGGCTGTTCAAGACTAGCACGATGGTTGAACTTCGAAGGACCTCGATATAACTGAAGTCACCGATCAATCAACACTAGCCACCTTCAATAAATTCTTGTTACCTTGTTTCATAAGAGTGGATGTCTTGTTACTTTATATTTACTTCCTGTTGATCAAATCATGAAACCTGCAAGTACTTTTTTTTTTTTTTTGGGACCAAAACCTGCGAGTACTTTTTCATTTATTGAAAACATATTCATCTTGAGTTTTGCAATATAATCATACCATGTGACGTCTTTATACCTGTGAATTCTAATTTATATTTAACATACCAAATATACTTATTTTATTAAACATCATTCCAACTGCTATTTCCATTCTTGTTTGTGGTGACTAATGTAACGTCGTTGTCATAGGATTTTTTTTTTTTTGCCCCCCTGATTCTCTGAGGCCTGCCCTGTAAATAGTCAAATCAGTTTTAGGACTCATTAAAAGTAATGAGTATTACGATGCTCATAAAATTTGGACGTCCAGCTTTAATTTTTTGTGTTTTTGTTCTATTTAATTTATTTTCTTATTTTAATGGATGTAGATTCTAAAATAAGAATAATATGTCAACTATTAATTTTTTCAAACAATCTTCTTGATTTAAGGATCATTAATTGAAAATCTTAAATTTAGATTGTTAAAATTGCATTTGGATTGTGTAGATGTCACCATTTTGATGAGCACCAATATACTTGTTACTGTGATAAGCACCGAATCTAATTTCTGTTATAAAGATTTCTTATTTTGTCAAAACATACAAAGGAGCTTATTACTAAATAAGTATCATGAATTTACAAAATTACATCAAAATCTCTTTGGACGTCGTTTTTCATTTTCCCTGAGGCGAAAAGGCCACATTGTCCTCTTTAATTTCAGACAAGTTCAATTATAAATTTTAAATTACTAAATTTCAATTATAAATTCATGATAATCAGTTGTAAATTAGAGGGAATAATTGTTAATGGCCAACGATATCATTGTAGTAAATTGGAGGGAATAATTGTTAATAGCCAACAATATAATTGTAAGTCACGAGAATTTCCAGGTGTCAAGTTGAAAGGTGTCATGTAAAAATACGTCAGAATCCTTAATTCGGACAGCTTCACAGATTATCAGCACTAATCGATGCATTTAACGCATCCGATGGGGAATTTAATAATTGAAATCTGTGCAAAACTTAAAGATCAGGCTAAATTATACAAAACCCTAATCATATTTCAAAGTTGAAATTTAATCCAACCTTTTACTTATTCATCATGAACCCTTTGCCATTAAGTGGCTGTTACCTTTTTACGAATTTTGCCACGTCAGATAATAAAAGACTTGTGACATTCTATATGGCATCTTATATAAGTTAATAATTTTATGAAAACCCCAAAACTTTAAACTTTAAGTGAGTTGCATAAAACCTCCCTAAACTTTGGAATATTGAATTTGTATTTTGAAATGTCAAGGGGTCATATATAATACGTAAAGTTCAGGGGGATTTTTATAAAATTAATAAGTGACAAAAGATGTCCTATAAGATGCCATGTGTCTTCAATTGATACGATATGACAATTTCATGAAAAGGATAACTGCCACTTATTAATAGCAATGGGAAGGTTAAATTTGAACTTTGAAATATTAGAAAAGGTTTGTGGAACCGACCTAAAGTTTTGGAGAGTTATATATAATTTAGAGGCTATTCATGTGGCAGCCGATGGCTATGATAGCTGACAGCACGGCTCTGGTTGTTGTGATGGTGAGTAGGATTATGGCGAGGATATATAAGTCTTTTCACATTACAACGGATATGTTAGTTAATTATACAGAGAAAATTTTTAACCCCACTTCCAGTTCCACGCTTTTCCACATACCAAACAGGGAATGCTCTGGTTTTTAAAAATGGGAAAAATTGAGAACAAGGACGATGTCATCTTCTTCCAGTTCGATGAGTAGAAGATGCAAAACGAGAGTGGCTTTGGTAAGAAAACCCAGTCACAAGGAGTACAAAGGACCAAGAAGGTACTGCCATCACATGGTGGTGGCTCCCTAATACACAGCATGAACAGGTTTTACGGTTGCTAGAACCACACCAAGTGACAAAGATAATTTAATTCTCCTAGGCCTGTCTTGTAAATACTCCTCCGGTCCTTAATATAAGACCCATTTAATTAATTTGATTAGATTAAGGAAGTTAGGTAAGTTAGTTAATTATAAGAAAAGTGACACATTTTTCCTAAAACACCATAATCATCTTTCTTAATACCCCCTCTCCTTCTTCTACTTGATTATGGCTGAGAGAGTATCCATAGGGGTAATTTAGAGAAAACTGATAAATATGAGAAATGGGTCTTATATTTAGGATCAAAACCAACTCAAGAATTGGGTCCTATATTAAGGACCGGAGGAGTACTTCTTATTTTGCCAAAAACATGAAAAAGAGCTTATCAATAAATAAGTATCATGAACTTACAAAATTACAACAAAGTCTCTTGGGACTTGCTTTTCATTTGCCATGAACCTGAGAGGCCACATTGTCCTCTTTAATTTCTAATAACTATACATTATAAATGGTTTATTGGTCCTTACGGTTTGATGGAATCTATGGTTTTAGATAGTTGGTTTTGGTCCCATAGTTTCATAAAGATTTGGTCTAAGTATAGGGATCAAAATCAAAAGAACTACTCCTCTGGTCAATATAAGACCTAATTAAGAATGTTAGTTAAATTAGTTAATATAATATGTTTTTTTTAAAATACTCTCAGTATCTTTTTTGATTCTCTTCCTCCTTTCTTACTTGATTATTATTGAAAAAGTATCAATGGGGTTAATTTTAAAAAAATTGATAAATACATGAAATAGGTCTTAAAAATAAGATCAACATCAACTCTCTCATTAGCTCCTATATTTAGGACACGAAGAGTATTTATTAAATTCATAACAAATTTAATTTCTTTAAATTTTAACAATTTACCTATTTTGAGGCGCAATTTCAAATGAACTTAATTTAAAGTGAATGGTATCCAGGTTTTGCTGAAAAAACTCATACTTCCAAAACTTACAAGTCGCATTGACTACCTCAAGCAAAATGTATAAATAAATTTAGGATTAGTGGTCATTTCTGTCCCCACAATTTTTGAAGAATGAAAGGTATGGATATTCAGAAGTTTTTATTAGCTTAGCAACTGAGATCTCTTGAAACAATCATAAATTGCTTGTTTATTTTAACGGGCCACAGTTTCACTTATAAACGTGTAGAAAATGGCAATGTCCGTGTCAAAGTGACTCCTCAACGTTCCTGTGACGTTCTGTTTGGAGCCAAAAAAATTTTCTCATTTGTTATCTGTATATGCATAATTTTGGGAGAAAAATGTGCTTGAATATAATATAATATTTACTAACAATATCCTCAACGAAAAGTTGAAAATTTAAAACCATAGAAAGTGTATTAAGCTGGAGTCTGAAACGATCAATATTGGCACTGAGTGTACGAAAAATCAGATTAGGATGTTCTTAGAATCCTCTTTCTTCTTCTCATGAAAAAAATCCTCTTTTTTCGTTTCTTTTCCGTATTCTTTTCCCATCTTTAGTTCAAAAAATGAATGGTTTAATGGTAATATTTCATAAAACTATTAAAATATTTTATAAAATATTTTTGCATACTAGAAGATGAATTGTGTAGATTAAATTTTATAATTTAAATTTATTTATTTATATTTGAACAATATTTTATAACGTATTATATCTGAATCATCTATTTTTAATCTGAGAGAGTAGAGAGAAGATTCTAAGAAGAAAGAAAGACGAAAGAGGATTCTTGAAAAAAAAAAACATGGATCAATAATATATGAATTGATGTTAGTAAATGTAACAAGTTAGTGGCATTACAGAGGACGTCATAACATGATTAACAAATTAACTTATGCATAGCATTTAAGAATACCAAATACAGTCAAATAGCTTTTTGCCTACATAGCTTCTGCCTCTTCCGAGAAAATGATTGCCGAATGTTTTCTCTTTCACCAAACTCCTCAAGATTGTCCATACGTGACAAACCTTTGGCCCTCAATGTACTTCCTTGAGAATCTTCTAGTTCCAAAACTATTGCTTCAACTTTAGGAGTGGCCTGATAATAAACACATTTATATAAAAATGATGCAAAGTCAAATTACCTAAATTTTAGTACATTATATATTAATGTTTCAACCAAATAAAAAATGTTATAAAAACTTACTGTATCATTTTGCAAAACGCCACAGATATCATCAAAATCCATAATCTACTCCACTCTTCTGCATTAGAAGGGAATTTTTCCCGAACAATTTCTCTTCCCATATCTTGCAATAAACCATGCATTTGTGTTTAATGATCAATAATGATCATGACTGATTTTTCAATCAAAGCTTGCATTGACTTCACTGGAACAGAAGAAGATAGATAAATAATAGCCAGAATCCCTTCTACAAATTTAATCTCCTTCCCTATAAAAAAAAACACGAAATGTCTAAAAATATTTCCTTGCAATTGTAGTTACGTTCATCAAAACTCTTTTTGAGGACATTCATTATCATAGAATTAGAGACCTTTCTGAATTCAACTAAGGTACTGCTCCGTTCAGAAACCCTTCTATTATTATATAAGAATTGGCTCAATGCTACCATTGCTAATGGAAGGCTACTAGCATATTTGAGTGCACTATCGATTTGCTCCTCATAACCCATCATTGGCAAATCATATTTGAAAGCCTTTCTACAAAATAATAGAAGGGCTTCGTCCTTGATCAATAGTTTAACCCTATAAAAATCATGCTTCTCAAACACTTTAATCACTCCTTCATCTCTACTTGTTATGATAATTCTATTCCCTCCACCTAACCATTTATCTCTTACAGCAATGACTAGTAATGGACAAATATCCTTAATATCAACACAGTCAAGAAGTATGAGCGTTTGCTTGGGATGTCTTAGCCCCGTGGTCCCATAAAATTTAATTGCATTGAGTACCAAATAGTTTAACCCTATAAAAATCATGCTTCTCAAACACTTTAATCACTCCTTCATCTCTACTTGTTATGATAATTCTATTCCCTCCACCTAACCATTTATCTCTTACAGCAATGACTAGTAATGGACAAATATCCTTAATATCAACACAGTCAAGAAGTATGAGCGTTTGCTTGGGATGTCTTAGCCCCGTGGTCCCATAAAATTTAATTGCATTGAGTACCAAATAAGAAGCATCAAAATGTTGAGAGATCCTATCATGGAGAACTCTTACAAGAGTTGACTTCCCTACTCCACCCGTACCACAAATGCCAACAACTCGAATTTCATCATTTGAAGCCAAATTTAGAAGCCCTTCTACTTCTCTCATTCGAGATTGCATCCCCGCTAGGATTGCCCCAACATAGACTAATTCACACATATTTTTCTTGACCTCCCTAATGATGTTATCAATAACTTATGGCTCTGGCCTGAATAAAAGATAACAAAATTAAAGCATCGAAATAATAATTGAGTCATTACACTGTTAAGTTTCACTACTTGATCAAGAGTTACTTGCAATTTACTATAATTTGCCTATTGGGACCTGAAAGTTGTGATCAAGAAAAAAGAAAGAGTAAATTACCCACTCGATTGGTACGTCCCAACCAAAGAGATTGGCCACTTGTTTCATTGCTAACCTCAGCTTTGTACCTTGCGTAAATTTGCTGTGAGCCTGTGTTCATGCTCAGCAAAAGCTTTTTCGAAAGAACTGTTCTGGTTTTGAACTTCAGATGGATGAACATCATAGAAAATTGGGAAAACAGTATATCGTAGTTCATGAATATGTGCAGTGATCTCTAGGAGCTCCTCAAGGCACTGTATAGAAGAAGCATAGCTTTTTGAGAAGACAACAATGGTAACGTTGGATTGCCGAATTGTAACAACAAAACTACTATACTTTTAAATTAATCAATATTGGAAAGTTAACCATGATAGAAAAGAAACTTGGTAAAACATTTAAAAATACTATCATGGTTATTTAAGCATCCTAAATCACATGAGATCGACCATGATAGAAAAGAGTTAAACCAAACTATAAATATATCTATCATGGTTAAAAGAGCTTTTCTAAATCAATTTCATGCAAATCGAGATTTACAATCAATAGGGTTTTAGGCATCATGAACCCAGAATGTCATTTTCAAACCTAAAACCCATGACACAATTTTACGGAATAATATCTTTCATAGCTCTCTAAAATTAAGTCATATGATGTCAAGGATTGTTGTGGATCCACAACTCATTAAAAAAAAAAAAGTCACATGCAAATACCTAGTGGCCTCAAGCCTTTTACCAGCATGCAATCCAACAACAGTTATCAAAATACACTGCCAAAATAATTAATCTTAAACAGATCAAAGTATGCAGAATTTTGCCCTATTGTGATAATATACATCTATTCAATACAATCAAAAGGGTGGAAGCACTACTATTTTGAAATAGTAGCTCAAGCTTCCAGAGCCTTCCCTGACTGACCCGAACAAGAACTATCACCTGGAAAAAATGTTAAACCAACTGGATGAGACAAAAGCCTTAGTAACCAACAATCCTACTTATCAAGCATATAAGTAAGTGCTCGTGACGTGTCAAGTGAGATAATTACAAATTCATAGTATTCAAACAAATTTCATATTGTTAAAGCATCTACAAAGTATAATCAATAATCTTCTCACCTTCTTTATATCCACCCACCTTATATCCTCTGACTGAACCCATGTGACTAGTAATTAGACAAGTCCACCGATCAAGTGATATGGGCTGGTCAAAATTCACAAAGCACAAGGCTGGACTATGGGTCCCCCCTCTAGCTAGGGTGTCAACGCCCTATAATGAGAAATTGGACTAAAGGACCAATCAATGTACACCTGATGGTCCTACCACCTTATATCCTCAAATGTACATAGTTCACCCCCTTATATCCTCTTTGGTATAATTCCCATCATCAACATCCACCACCCCTCACATATCAATACTCAAAGTAATGTATTTATAACAAATCATCAACATGTCAAAAATCAATTCGAATTTCCAATACCCAATTAATTCATAATACATGAGATCATCATAGTTGTAAACATATGTATTTATTTTGTAAAGTAAATTTCACAAGACAAATTTCAATAACAACATAATTTCATAGCTCATATCATAACTCAATAATGTTTCATAAATTCCATATAATTCAAAATCAATCACTAACAACATATGAGTACGAATAATAAGTAAAAAGTGGTAATTACCTCTCGCCTACTAGGAAAAGGATTACCACAAGGTTAATCCCCTGTTCAACCAACAATCTAATAATTTAATCTACATAATCAATATATTTACATACTAATACGCAAGCTATTTTAATTAATTACTTAAGCTAATACATATATATATAATTTAAAGTTTCTAATTCTATGCTAAACCCAAACCTCTTATAACCCATAATTAAGTCTTTTAGCACAAAATTAATATAACCTAACAATCCATAATTTTCATTTAAACCTTTAAAAATATTTACTTTAATACAGAATTTTTTCCAATTTTAAAAAATCAGAAATTATCATATTTAAAATTTAAAAATCCTATCTCAAGTTTAAATCCCAGAAACCAACCATTTGAAATTTAACATACATCAAATACACTTAAGTAAATCATTTAATCAACAGTTCTATAGTAGAAATACCACATTTTTCACAAATAAATATCTGTTTAACTAAAATAATTTATTTAAAAACATTAAGTCAGTCAAAAATAAAACTAAACCAATAGAAATGATCTACTAAAATAGCTCTACAATACTATGTTTATCTATCATCAAAATTCAACACTTGCTCCAAACCATAACCCAAAAATTTTCTCTAAACAATATAACATTACCATCATTGGATAGATATAGATGAGTAGAAAAATTTTTGTAAAGAGAATTTGATGAAAAGAAGTCATTTGGCTTACCAAATTGATCTATAAACCTGAAAATCCTACCAAAAAAAGGACGACACGGCGCCGCTGGAAGTGAAAAAGATAAGTCTGTGAAAATAAAATGCCGTCTCTCACCTTCCAACGGTTAAATATAACTTATGGGGTAGATTTCAGTTAGAGACCCCATGTTAAAGTGAGATAAAATTACAGTTTAGAATCCTATTTTTCATTTTCTTTGCATTTTCTTGCCCTTTTAAAATCCGTTTTATTATTGTTTTAGTAAATTTTCTTTTATATATATACTTTATAAATTTTATTTTCAGTAAATTCTCTTTTTTTAAATAATTAGAGAATTAAAATTTATTTATTAAGTATTAAACTCCTAAATTTATTTAAATATTAGGAATGAAAACTAGGATGTTACACGAATTGTCTTAAGAAAGTAACGTGGTAGAGTGATGGAATCACCTGTGTCAAGATTTTGGTTGCCCCAAAAGGTATTCAAATCGTTACTTTCAAGTGCAGCCCAAAACCTATTTGTAAATTTGCAAGTTTCATAATCTCCTCTGAAACTTGGATATACATGAATCGGCGTTTGACAATGAGCTGTTTATGAAACTCTCAATGGGCGTAACCTTCCGTTCTTAATGATTAGCTGACCTCGATTGAAAAGCGGGAGCGTTGAATAGAATCACAGTTCCTTACTGAGTTACTCGATTGAGGTTGAATGTTAATTGCTATTTAGTTTTCAATGTCGGAGCAAAGTGGAAAGCCACAGCAAAATCATGCCTCTTATAGCGTTATTGACCTTAAAGTAATAAATTAAAAAAATTAAATACCATGAATATAGGTATTAGCTTCTTATTTTTTTTAATATCAATGCAATAATATATATATAGCATTGATATTAAAAAACATTAAAAAATAATAAAAAATCACATGTGAATAGTCTATGTCCATTGAATTTTTTTTATTCTTTCTTACTATCAACTTGGTCCGTGTGGAAAAACCAAAGGAATAAAGGCAATAATTACTTGGACTAGGCGTCCCTTTTCACAAAATGGCAGGATACTTGATATAAAAACTAGTTAAAATTTTATTTTGATCTTAAATATACACACAGATATATAAGATTTTAATTCATTTTATTTCTAATATTTATTTATTTTGCTTCTAAATAATCCTACAATGATTGCACATGTTAAAGAATTTTTATCAATAGGTAGTTTCAATAAATTAATATTCACAAATTAGTTTTCTAGCTCTTATAATAAAGACACGGGTAATACTTCTCTAGTTCTATTTATAAGTCACTTCTAATATGTTAAACAAACCAAAAAAAATCTTGAACTTTATTAATTCTTATTTAAAATTCAATAACCTTTCAACTTTATTCATATTTAATATACATTATACCTCAAACAAACAAAATTGATATAATAATGAATGAATAGTGAAATTGTACATCTATATAAAAAATTTCTTTTAGCACCCATAAATAGATTAAATAACTGTTTCTTTATTTGTCTTATAACTAGGACCAGAGGAGTATCATTTAGTGAAAATGACAATGTTTGGTAAAAATTTGACATAATTAATCATCATAATCAAGGATCGTATTTTAGAGAGAGAGAGAGAGAGAGAGGATTTTGTTCGTTGCTAATATCTCATTTTGGGGAGGAAATAAATATCTCGCCGATCTTTTACACCAAATGTAAATTCGAAGATATAAAAAAAACTAAGGTCAAATAATCATTACTTTTTAGATTATTTTTTTTAATAGAAACTAAACTATAATTTTAAAAATATTTTTACTATATAAAAAAGTTTATTTTATTTATTAAAAAATATTTTTGAAAAGTACTATTGATATTTCCAAACACCCTCTCAATTATCAAGAGTAATCATTACCTATAGATAGTGTAACACGTTCGTCAAGCTGACCGGAATGAGAGAGAAGATTTTACAGACTCCGTGGGCCCACAGATACAAAGTAACGACAGTTTGTCCAACTTAACAGTTTAGTTACTTTCGCCGCACAATAAAAAGTTTATGTATAATTATAATATGTAGAAATGAATTGAAATATGTAAAGTAATTTTTAATTGTGATTTTTTCTGAGGACCAATATCAAACTTCCACCAACGTGACTTCTTTCCCTCTGTTTCCAGGCACAGGGGGAGTTGCCGAACAGCGTGAGCATCGTTGAGCAACTCTGATGTGTCTGTCCCTGAGAAAATTATATGAATGCAAGTAAAATTTTATGTATAAATATATATGATATCATTTATAACATATATCTGATATAAATATATTAATGTATAAGTATGTTAAATTATACCTATATTAACGTATACGTTAATATCAATATTTATATGAACATATATTAATATCTTATAATATTAATATATATTGGTATAATATTTATAC